TTTTCTATAACCATCAGCTTTTCTTACCCTTTCTAGTAATTTTTATTCATACCATCATAGAGTAATAGATATGTTCACATAGTGGGTAATATTCACTGAACATACACTTTCAGTCAGGCTCTGATAGTTCATCGTGTCAAGAAATTTATACACCTTCCCCCCAGGTTTGTGGGGACAAATGGTTATCTATCAGCTGGATATGATTATCATACTCACTTTATAGATTAGGAATCTGTGAGTTGTCCTAAATCACAGTGTTAAAGTAAGTGTTTTAAATGTAAAGTCTTTTTGAGTCTAGAAACCAAACCACTAAGCTGTCCTGTCATGGATTGGAGACCTTGTCATTCTGGCTGCCAGAGCCCTCTGCTCACCTCTTTTCTCTCTTCTTTTTATCATCAAAAATTCATGTTTTCAGGTGGAAAAGAGATTCTGCCTCAAGACTACAGCATCAACTACTGCCTGGGCTTCCAACCTGCCACCTGCCCTACAGATTTCAGACTTGCCGGCCCCTGCAATCATGGGAGCCATTTCTTAAAATATGTCTCTTGACATTAAGAATTACACACACATAGATAGATAGTACACACATTCTATTGGGTACAGGTTAGATAGGTAGGTAGTTACAAAGATGATAGATAGATCTATCCATCTATTTGTTAGCCTTTCTGTCTTATATCTTACATACTGTATATTCTCTATATCTCTTTAATCTATCTATCTCCCCAGAGAAGCCAATGTGTTCTGTTGGTTCTATTTCCCCGGAGAACTCTTACTGATATACCTCACCTAGCCTTTTCACATTGTTTCCTCCTCTCAAACCTGCTCCAACCAAGCCAGCCTCTTGACTGGGTCCTCAAACCTACAGGCATACCCTTGCCCTAGGGCTGCTGCATGGGCTGCTCTATCCACTAGACCCTTCTTCCCCCAGGTAATTCCATAGTTCACACCCCACTTCCTTCAAGTTCGACCTTTTCAATGAAGCTTACACTTAACCACTTTATTGTAGCCCATCCCCTCTGGCCTTTTCTGTTCTTCCTACCCTGCTCTGTTTCCTTTCATCCACAGCACTTTATCACCTCTTAATATGTAATTTATTTATCTCATGTATTATTTATTGTTTGTCTCCACTACTAGTATATAAGTTTCATGAAGGAGACAATCCTTGTCTATTTTATAAACTGATGTATCCCAGGTGCTTAGCATGGAGTAAAAACCCAATGATAATTGTTGGAGCAACAATGAATGAGAAGTCTGTAGAGATCAATAAATCAGAGGGCCAGGGGACCTGAGATGAGGTGTTGGGACTGGTCAGCTGAGGACTCTGCTTAATGAGTAGGGTCTGTATGGACAGTGATTGGTAGGACTAGGAGGGTCAGTAGTAGATAAATGGGTCAATAATGGGGGCTTCCCAGGTGGCGCTAGTGGTAAAGAACCTGCCTGCCAATGTAGGAGATGTGAAAGATGCAGGTGCGATACCCGGGTTGGGAAGATCCCCTGGAGGAGGAAACGGCAGCCCACTCCAGTATTCTTGCCTGGAGAATTGCATGGACAGAGGAACCTGGCGGGCTACAGTCCATAGAATTACAGAGTCAGACACGACTGAAATGACTTGGCATGCGTGCCCGTGGAGACCACTAAGGAGGCCAGCTATGGCAGAGGCTAATTATCTTGCCCAAGGTCATCCATCTAGCAAGTTGCAGAGCTGGAACTGATCTCAAAATGTCTCAACCTTAATGCTGTACAATTCAAGATGTGAAAGCTGACTGAAGGACGTATATAGTGGAAGGTGTAAGACAACATCTGTGGATCCTGGAAATTTCCCCTCAGTAGCAAATCAGAATGGAAAAAAACTCAGAAGTTGATACTACAGGTAAATTCAATACTCAAGAGCTCTGGTAGAATAACCGAGTGATACTTGATCCGTCAGATTATATCAGTGAACAGTGCATGAGGCCATGATCCTCTAGGCTACCGCACCCTTCCTGTGATTTCTGCTTCTGAGTCTGCAGGTAAAACAGAATAGTGACAGCCTGATACAGGTGCTGGGAGAGCGCAGGACCCACAGCAGTGTTCCTATAAATGTGGGGAGTTGGTGCCCTGGCATGATGAATTTGACAGTGGTGTGTAGGATGAGAGGAGGGAAGCACAGGAAGCAGAAAGACTAATGTCCTGCAATAGTAATCCGTGAATGAAATGATGAGGCTTACAATGTCCAAAGCCAGTCCCATCACCATGAGTGCCTCTCTGCACCCTTGTTTGCCTTTTTCATTCAATCCTCCTACTCAGCCTTCCCCTTTCAGAGCTGTGCATGCATGCTAAGTCACCTTAGTTGAGTCTGACTCTTTGTGACCCCATGGACTGTAGCCCACCAGGCTCCTCTGTCAATGGGATTCTCCAGGCAAGAATACTGGGGTGGGTTGCCATACCCTCCTCTAGGGGATCTTCCCTATGCAGGGATTGAATGCATGTCTCTTACATCTCCTGCATTGGCAAGCGGGTTCTTTACCATTAGTGCCACCTGGAAAGCTCAGTCACTCAGTCGTGACCCCATATACTGTAGCTCCTCTGTCCATGGGATTCTCCAGGCAAGAATACTGGAGTGGGTGGCCATTTCCTTCCCCAAGCCTATCTTTATCTTACTCCTTGCTTCACAGATTAAAATGGTGTCTCTGACACGCCCAACCTACTTGTCATAGATTTCAGTACTCTGCCATGTCCACACTGGAGATGACTTCCCCCTAAAAGCCCAAGAGGTGGGAAATATTTACCCTTGGGAATATTTCATATTTAGGGGCAAATATGTCAGTATGACAGAATATTCCTGAAGAGGCTTCTTTCTATAAAATGATGGTAGAAAGATTCATTTGGAATTGTGCCTTTTATTCCATTTTAGAGGGAATTTTGCAAATCAATAACTATATACAAAAGCAACAGAAAACCCAAATCAAACTTTTGGGAAAAGTTACATTTATTTAATAAGAGATTACTGAGTAAAGTGAGAGACAATGAATGTAATGAATTTGAGAGAATTTTCCAAAGATCACAAAATGTAATAAATGTGACAAAGTTGTAGTGAATGTGTCCCCAAGAAAATCACACTATGAAAATGCATAAGAATATAAATAATATAAAAAAATCTCTCCTAGGGGGAGATTACAAAGGGCATAATGAAAGTTTTTTAAATTATGAATTTGTTCATTATCTTGATTATTGTGATGATTTCACAAATAGTTACATATGCTAAGACATATTAAATTGAACCTTCTACTTGCAGTTTATTATATGTCTAAAGCAGTTTTGTTGGGGTTAAAAAAACATTTAAAAAATCCCTCCTGTAGAAATCTCAACACACTGGACATACTGAATAAAAGCTTGTATCAAAATGTAATCTTATTCTGCTTTAGGGAACTCATACTGCAGAAAATACTGTGATTGTAAGGTGGAAAAGCCACCAATCAGAACCCCATTTTCACTGGAACATATAATCCACACAGAGGAGAAATCACTCAAAGTCCATAAATCTGAGAAAGCCTATAAGTATAGCCCAGCTGTTATTCAACAGAGAAGGGAACACATAGGCAGAATGTCTTATAAATTCCACAAATTTTGGAGAAAAAACTTTTTTTCAGGGGTTCAAATTGATTGGATATTGGAGAAGGCAAACTATGTGTGCAAATAACATGGAAAAACCTGCAGGGATCTGTCAACCCCCACTGAACAGCGAAGAAATGATCCAAGGGGAGATCTTATGTATGCACCGAATGTGGAAAAGCCCTCTTCCAGGAGTCAGACCTTTGTACACATGAGAGAATTCAGAAAGGAGAGAAGTCTCACAAACGTACTAAATGTGTCAATGCCTTTGGCCATAGAGGACGCCCCCACTGCACACAAAACGGTGCATGCCTCTTCTGTGAGTGGACTGAATGTGAGGAGGCCAGAAGACAGAACTCACTGCGCCTCAGAAAGTCCACAGCAGAGAGACCAGTCTGAGTCAAACTGGGGGGCGTTAAAGTCTTCAGCAGGAAGCCAGGACGCTAAGTCAGAAACGTCATGTGGCAGGGTGGTGGCGGGTGAACAAATCCTCTAGATGTGGAAAAGCTTTTACTAAGAAATAATTCAAATTCTAAGTCATAGAGTTCAGAGTGGGGAAAACCACAAAAATGTAAAAACTGTGGAAAGGTTTTCAACTAGAAGTCAAGACTCACTGCATAACAGAGAATTTATACTGAAAGAGCCAGAAAACAATAAATACAGGAAAACCTTCATTTGGAGACGAGAGCTCATTGTCCTCTAAAAGTTAATATAGGAGAAAAATCGTATTAAAGCACTAATGTGGAAAAGCCATCAGCAAGAAAATACACCTCATTGTACATCAGAAAAGCCACACAGGAGAGAAGCTGTATGAAAGAATGAATTTTGGTAAGCACCCAGCAATATATGAAATGTCATAATTCACACTGCAGAGAATTCCTAGGAATGCAACAAATGTGGGGAAGGAGAATCTATACACCAAAAATGTTATTCTGAGGAGAAGCCCTTTTAAAGAACGCAGAAACAACCTGGTCCCAAGGTCAAAACGGATTATGCAGAGATTCTGTCTAAGGAAGAGTCTCTACTGGATGAAGTACAGTTGAATCTTCAAAATCAGTTCCAGACATTAGCCACTAGAGAATTCATACTGATAAATAAAAAGAGTCAATTTAACAAATTCAAATTCTACCCCAGGGAAATAAAATTCCATAACTTAAACCAAACCTTTTGTTAAAAATAGATTACTGAAAAATGCATTTGACGTCCAAGCGTTTTCCTTCCCATGCCTCATGCATGCCTTTCAAAGGCGATCTCCCAGTAAATATTGAGAGAGAACAGTTTGGATATTCATCCCAAGTTATCCACTTGGAATGAATCTTCACCATGAACACAACTCTGTCTGTAACTGGTCCCAACCTAGAACTTGAGAACAGGCATCAAAGGAGGGCAAATGCCACATTGATAGTTTATTCTCACACCACTGCCACCAAACGTGCATCTCATTTTCTTAAAGTTCAGGGTTCATTTAAGCAAATACACATGGGAGGGGGAAGAAAAATAAGCTGTTCTCTAAGCATGACATTCCCCAGATCCTAGGAGAAAAGAGGTCAAGGAAACAACTCTGACACAAATAACCTCACAGGGGCAGCCCAGTTCCCTCTGTCCTGTGCAGGCCTATCTTCTCCTACAGGGCCCTCACGCAAGGCTCAATCCCTCTGTACCAGCAAAATATTTACCCAAGCCCACACTACACAGTCCAAAATACAGAGCCACAGAGCTCCTGTGGAAACTGCTCCTCTCCGGCTCCAACCCTGTATTTCATCCTATGAGTCTACGTTCTCATAGGCTGCTCAATCCCTAGATTCTGGAGGTTGATCAAGGTGGAGGAAATCCACTCACCCTGGGCCAAGCCCAAGGCTTCACCATGATCTCTGACTTCAAAGCAGTGAATATAAGTTTAATCCCTCTCCAGAAGAGGATTCTCTCGGTGCCTGTTCTTGGCGAGAAGGAAGCATGAAGCCAAGACCCACAGAAGAACGGGGCTGAAATGTGTCATGTGGGTCCAGGCCAGTTCCATCCTACTAGGCTTGGCCTTAGTGGACTCCCCACCCTGACTGCTCGCTGTAGACCTGGGCTCTTCACAGCTTCCATCATGCAGCAAGGACACAAAAGTCGCAGAGGAGGGAAGCAAGCATCCCATTCATCCTCTACTTGCCACTTGGGGCCTCTGTGTCCTCACCCTTGGGGGGGGCTGCCACCGTGGAGGTCGTCTTGAGGCTCCGCTTCCGCTTCTGCACGTTCTGCTCCGGGTGGAACAGGATGACGTAGGTCTTGGGTACATAGAGCATGCCGAGGGACACGGACGCACTCAGGCTCAAGGACACAGTCAGCGTCGTGGTTTGGATGTAGATCTAAGCCACAGAGGAAAGGACCAGGTGGACTCGGCCCAGTTCTCGCCCACCCTCCGCCCCCGCACAGCCTGGGACTTCAGTCAGCTGAATGGGAATGACCACATGGTAAAGCAGAGCGGTGTAAACAAAGGCCCCCTTGGCAGGAAGAATCGGCTGTAACAGTGTGGCTCTGGTGTGGGCAGCAAGAAGGGAAAACAGCACATGACTGAGTGGGCAAGTGACCAAGGGAAGCAAGAGGTTTATTCACAGACAGCCACATCTAGGGCAACAGTCCATATGCCTAAAAAGGGCTAGAGCGTGTTAGCAAATGAATGAACATGTTCTCAAATATACAAATGAATGGATTAACACAACCTGCACAAAGGAACAAGTGGGCAAACAAAGGGATCATGAGGTGAATAAACGAGAGTTCCACCGAGCATATGAATAAATGAATGCATGGTGGTCAAACAAATGAAAGCAAAAGATGGATTGGCAGAGATAAATGTATGAAAAGGTAACTTAATAAAAAAAGTTAATTGGTGGGTAGAAGCATGGATGAATAAATGAATGAATGAACAAAGGGAAAGGGAAGGAGAGAACAACCAGAGGGAAACTAGAAAGACAAATGAGTACATGAATGAATCAGCCAACCAATCAATCAATCATTCTTATGGGCCCAGCACTTAGAACAGCTGAGCCCCTCCATGGACAAGCAGGAAACAAATGAGGTCGGGACCCAGATTACCTTTTCAGCTGATTGGGCAGTGCCAAAGAAGATTGGCACAAAAGCCAGCCAGATGATACAGGTGGTGTACATGGTGAAGCCAATGGGCTTGGCTTCATTGAAGGTCTCGGGCACGCCACGGGCCTTGATGGCATACACTGTGCATGTGACCATGAGCAAGAGGCTGTAGCCCAGGCAACCGATGAGGGACAGATCCGACATGTCGCACTTGAGAACGCCTCTGGCCTGTTCTGGGTCCACCGTCCGCTGCTCTTCATAGTCGATCACACTGTGCGGGGGCTGGGCCCCCAGCCAGGCCAACACTCCGACCACCTGCAGGAGGCAGCATGGTTATCAAGGACACAGCCAGACTCACCCTCGACTGAGATCTCTGGCAGGGTAGGGTCGCTTCAAGGCTCCTGGCCTGTTGAGTGGAATGCTCGGGACAGGCCACCACGAGGGCAGGGTTTTCCAGGAGGGCGCTGCCTGGGCAAAGGCCGGTGACACAGGCAGGTGGGGAGAAGCTGCACTGGAAGTCTGTGCTGGGAACATCAGGGTCGACTGGATAAGGGGGCCTGGATGTCCTCTTCCTGTATTTCAACCATTATCAGTGCCATTTACTGAGCTACACAGGGTGGCAGAGGATGAGATGGTTAGATAGCATCTCTGACTCAATGGACATGAACTTTCAAGCTCCAGGAGATAGTGGAAGACAGGGAAGCCTGGCGTGCTACAGTCCATGGGGTCACAAAGAGTCAGACACGACTTAGTGACTGAACAACAACAAACAAGGGAAAGTGACTGCAGGCAGAGGCTCTGGAACTGTGACCCTGAACATACCTCCTCCATCTACCAAATAGGAACCCTCATAATCTGTTGGTGGATGTGATGCAGCTTAGGGGAGGAGTCAGTACATGTCCCATTAATTTAGCACAAGGCCCAGCAGAGATGCTCCTCTCCATGGAGGCAGTATTGTGTGTTCTGCAGACATGAAAACGCTAGCTGGATCTAATCTAACCATATGGGACACCTCATTCCTGAGAACCCCCTTCCTTCTCCAGATCCAAAGAACTGTTGAGCAAGACATCGTGAAATCACATGGGAATGCATAGTGATACTCAAAACAGAGAGATACTGGGTGGAGAGTAGTACGAACATAAGCTTATGCTGGGCGGCCAGGGAGGTCAGGGCCTAGCAAGGAGAAGACGGAGGATGAATTCCTTCACAGGGAGGGGAGACACGACCTTGAGGCAAGGGAAGCTGGGCAGTAGGAACTAAGACACCTGCATAAAGGTGGGACCTGGGAAAAGCTGTCCTATACATTTGTATATGTGCTGCCGAAGCGAGCACGTGTCCTATATGTTTGTGCAGGCCATTCACTGAATAAGAATGCTTGGTTTGGGAGGAATGATGCTGAATCCTAGCCAACACTTCAGTGCAATGCTGTGCATCTGGAGTAGGGCTATGTGATCCTGGAGGAAAGGAAGTTTTTAAAGGAATTTGTACATCCAGAAGGAGCACCTTTTCGTGATTCTTCCAAAAGCAGAAGCTCCATGAACAAGGGACTAATAAAATAAAGCTCCACCCACTGTCTAGGAAGGAAGCATGGAGGCTCCTCTTATAACTCCTCTAAATGGGGGAGAAAGTTGCCCATGAGAAATGAAAACTCAAGGCCTATGATACATGGGCAGAGAAACCAAAATGCACCTCACTGGGTTTGCAGCCTGAGTAACTGACAGAAGAATTAGCATCCAGTACACATAAGGAACTCCTATAAAATAACAGGAAGTGAGCAAAGCTCAGGAGCAGGTGCAGGCACATCACAGAAGACGAAGCTACCAAGGCCAGCTGCACTAGAAAGGAGAGACAAATTAAAACACTGAGACATCCTTTCACATCCGTTGTATTACTAAGTAACCTTGTGAAGGTGAAGGTGTGAACCTCTGAAAAGATTTGGGATTTCTAGAAAGGGAGGTATAAAGCAGGGAGTCCATAGGTAAGCCGGAGGAGAGCACTGAATGTAGTCTAAGCACCTCTGTCCTGGGGTGAAGGGTGCCACGGGAGTTTCAGGCAGGAAGCAGTGAGGTGCCTTCCGAGGACGGGTGGGGCACTGAAATGCTGACCCTGATGAAGGACACTCAAACCCGTCTACATGCTGGAAGAGGGCAGCACCTTCCAGCTGTGGACAGTTGCATGGACTGAGGCCCAAGGGTAGGAAAGATGCAGAGCTAGGTAGGAAGAAGAGCTCTCCTGGAGTGGAGAAAGAACTGTGTCCAAATGACTTGAGACCCCCACTTGGCCCTGTGAACTGGGCTGGCTCTGCAATGCCACACACACACCTGTCTCCTAGTACCCTTTACATAACATGGGAGCCATCTCCAACGTTCTATTACCATCTCAGAGGAAACCCAGAAGGAATTCTGCTTTTGCTGTACATATAGCATGAAATGCTGGCTATTTATGGAACTGGATGCTTCATTCCACAGTAATATCATCAGACCCTATGCCTCTCATCCAGGTTACCCAGTGACTGACTGGGCAGCAGGAACTCCCCTTATGGAAACAGATTCTCTGCTTGGGGGAAATTCATCAGGGATCTCTTTGCCCTGGGAGCCAAACTATGGAACAACATGTTCAGCTTATGAAAATTATTTCACTGTTTCACAGAAGAATCACTGGACGCTTGCACTCCCCACCTTGCTGATTCATTTTCCTCCAAGGATGAAGCAGGAGGAAACAGTTGCTCCTATGTGAGTTCTACTCACAAAAACAGTAGCACCCTAGCACCTGGGACTTTTTTTTTTTAAACATAGAGACCAAAATAGAAGAGTGACTCTGACCTTTAAAGCGGAGGTCAGTGCCCGTACCCTCAGCCCCAATCCCATCTGTCAGCCCGTCAACTTGGAGCCCGCGGACTCACCTGCACGGAAGTGAGGCTGAAGGTGATGACGAGCTGCGAAGTGGGGCTGATGAAGGGCGGAGGCGTGACCGAGCGCTTCCCTTGCTCAAAGATGCGGTAGATGCGGTTGGTCTTGGTGAGCAGGGCCGAGTAGCTGAGGGAGGTGCCGAGGCCGAGGAAGAGTCTGCGGGTGGCGCAGACCGCCGCTCCGGGCTCAGCCACCATGAGGAAGGTGATGGCATAGATGAGGAAGATGCCGGTAAGGAGGACGTAGCTGAGCTCACGGCCAGAGGCGCGGACGATGGGTGTGTTGTTGTGCCGCACGAAGGTGGCCACCACCGTGGTGGTGGCCATGATGCCCAGCACGGCCAAGAGGAGAGGCGGGGCCGCCCAGGGCGAGGACCAGGAGAGGCGGACCACCGGCGTGGGGCGGCAGCCCGTGTGGTTGCGCGTGGGCCTCATGTGCCCCGGGCAGGCCTCGCAAGTGAACTCGTCCACCTGGAAGCGGTACCCGTCGCAGGCCTCGCAGTGCCAACAGCAGGGGACGCCCTTCACCATCTTTTTCCGCTCCCCCGGCCCACAGGGGAGGCTGCACTGAGACTCGGGCACCTCTCGGGCGTCTCCTGACCACTGCAGGGCTTCCACCTGGGACAGGACACCGCGGCCTGTGACTCCGCCTCCAGGAAGGTGGGCCCGCCTCCCTGCGCCCAGAGCTCAGCCTGTGCCACTTACATCCAGCCTGAGGGTCTCCGCCCACTGACCCACCGCCTGGTAGCTGCCACTGCCTGCACTGCCATTGGTCGCCTGGTACTGGAAGATGTCATATCGCCCAGGTGCGTCCCCATTCTCATTGAACATCACAGGGGTTCCTGCGCTGCCTGAAAGGAGAGCCTGTCATCCTCGCTGGTTCTCTAGCCCATCGAAGGCCAGGACAAAGGAGGAGCTTAGCTAGTAGGTGAAAAGGTGCTCAGTATCACCTATCATCAGGGAAACTGCAATCAAAACCCCAGTGAGATTCCTCCTCACACCCATTTAGGATGGCCACTGTCGAAACAATAGAAAGTAAGTGTTGGCAAGTGTGGAGACACTGAAACCCTATACTCCACTGATGGGAATGTAAAACGATGCACTCACTATGGAAAACAGTATGGTGGTTCCTCAAGAAATTAAACGGAATTACCACATGATCCAGCAATTCCAATTCTAGGTATATACCCAAGAAAACTGAAAGCAGGGACTTGAAGAGATGTTTGTACACTTCTTTGTTCACAGTAGCATTGTTCACAGTAGCAAAAACATGGAAGAAATGCAAGTGTCCATTGACAGATGAATGGATAAGCAAATTGTGGTCTATACATACAATGGAATATTATTCAGCCTTAAGAAGGAAGGAAATTCTGACATATTCTACAACATGGATGAACCTTAAGAACATTATGGTAAGTGAAATAAGCCAGTCACAAAAGGACAAACACTGTGATTCCACTCATCTGAGTGGTCAAATTTGGACCACTTAGAGTGGTCAAATTAATATTGACAAAAGGTAGAATGGTGGTTGCCAGGGGCTGGGGGAGAGGGAAATGAGGTGTTAATGTTTAATGGATGCGGAGTTTCGGTTTTGCACAATGAAAAGTTCTAGAGACAGATTGCACAAGTGACATCATTAAGCTGTACATTTAAAACTGGTTAAGACAATAAATCTTACTCTATGTGTCCATGTGTGCTAAGTCGCTTCAGTCATGTCTGACTCTTTGTGACCCTATATACTCTAGCCCGCCAGGCTCCTCTGTCCATGGGATTTCCCAGGCAAGAATACTGGAGTAGGTTGCCATGTCCTCCTCCAGGGGATCTTCCTGACCCAGGGATCAAACCCACATCTCTCTCCTCTCCTGCACTGGTAGGCAGGTTCTTTACCACTAGTGTCACCTGGGAAGCCAACTCTTTGTGTATGTTACTACAATTAAAAAGAAATAAGAAAGCTTAGGTATCTAGGTAAGAGGAAGAATTCAGACTTAGAAAGGTACTGATTTGAACAATAAGCCTTATTTCTTTTAGAAGCTTGTTCAACTACCTTGCAGAGCTAATCTGGAGTGATATTATGTCATGCTCTTTTATTTTATTTGTTTATTTATTTAGCCTCACAGCATGTGGGATCTTAGTTTCCCAACCAGGGGTCAAACCCATGGCCCCTGCAGTGAAAGCGCAGAGTCTTAACCACTGGACTACCAGGGAAGACTTAAATCATGCTCTTTAACAGGGAGCTTAGCAGAGAGAAGATGCTCTACACTTGGTGGAAGAACAGTTTTTAATTTTCTAAAGGGTAGTAATTGAACACGGTGTGAAGCTCTCCCCACAAACCATAAGCACAGCTGAGTCTATCTGGGCCTTTTCAAAAACCCTTATTCTGAGCCCTGACCATGTATCAGGCCCTCCACTGGTATCAGGGGGACACGGATCCACACTTTGTGCTCAGGCGGCACAGGGCTTGACTGGGGAGGCATTTGGAAGCCTGAGATGTGGAGTGGGATGCCGGCCCACAGTGCGGGCAGTGCCCTGAGAGACCAGATGATTCCAAACTCTGCAGTGGGGCGAAGAGCTGTGTGTGACCCTCTGAGAGGTCTAGGCAAAAAGGGTCACAAGCAAGTTCTTCAGAACCTGGAATTTGCAGCCTGGGGCAGGGGGTGCCGAAGCCTGGGGAACAAGGAGTGTCAAAAACCGGTCCCCAGAACTTGGCTCAAGCCTCCAGCTCTCAGGCCCAGCTGCTCCCGCTGTCCCCTTCTGCTCTCCCATTCTTTCCATCCTGGGATGTCCCAGGTCCTGAGAACTCCAACCCAGCAGGCTTCCCCTCACTCACACAGGGGCTCTGTCTCCCACTCACCATTGAAGCGCACGGCTCGAATATACTGCAGCAGTGTCCGACCATCAGTGGGCTCCATTGCTGGGCACAGGCCTGTGTGCCCAGGGCAGAGAGCCTGGTGCATGCTGTGGAGGGCGTGGGCAATGGCGTACACAGCATCAATCACAAACTGCACCTTCCCTTCCTGCTCGTAGGCAGAGTCCCGGCCGATGCGTTCCTCACCTGTCCTAGGGATGCCCAGAGGAAGTGTGCCTGGCCCCCAGGTGCCCAACCTGGCTTCCCACCTCTCCCTCTCCACCCTCAACACCCACCCTGGGCAGCTCTCACCTGTGCATTTGCGGGTGGAATCATCAGACTGGGTACCTGAGCTAGTCAGTTTGCAGTTAAAATTCTCTTCCCAGAACTCAGCAAACCAGATGTTTCGGCGGTTGTTCTCCAGGGATCGAGTCATGAAGTACTGGTCAAATCCTGAGAGAGAGGGAAGGAGGAAGGAGGGGAGGCACCCATATGAGCCAGCCACAGCTTACCACTTGTGTCCCTTCACCACTTGCTGACTTTACAGATGGGGATGCCCATGTGATCAATTTCTGGCCTGGCTGATGAGTTCAAAGTCATCTAGGGACTCTGCAGTAAATTTGCAAACTCAGAGCCTCACCACATGAAAGAATTTTTTTCTGCCTTGTCTTTCCTGGTTAGGATGCCTCTGTGAAGATGGGTGGAGCTTCAGCAGCCACTTTGTGAATAAGACATCACAATCAAGAAGTCATATAGCAACTCCAGAGGATGGTGGAACAGAAGGGAGGACAGAGCTCAAGATTCTGAGAACATCGTTGACTCATTGCCCCAAACATGAAGTTTCCCCTACTTTGAGACCTCTTGTCTTGTGATGGAATACATTTACTGCTAAAACTACTCTCAGTCTAGTTCGTTGCCTACAACTGAATGCATTCTAAGGGAAAGGAAGAGTGTCAGGCTGTGTGCACCTCCAAGAGGCTGGGAGCCCCTGGAAGTCAGGGCTCAGTATTGACAAGGATCTGCACTTCATAAAATAGCCCTGAAGTACCTCATCAAGATGCCTTTAGTTTAGCCTTTGGGGAAATGAGCAATCCTAGTGTAATGTGACCATCTTTTTTGCGTTCTTCCAGATATTCACAGGTGGGATGGTGAGGAGGGGTGGAGAGGCAGGCCTCATTAATTGATCAGTAGGACAGTAAGTCCCACATCCTTGTTTTCTCTCCCTCTCACACTCATCTTCAAATTAGAGTGCCTTTGGCAGAACCCAGATGTAGGCACTGATTAAAACAAAACAAAACTAACAAACAAAACTTAACAATTATTCACCGTGTACAGTGGTGTGTGCATTTCCTCATTTGCCAATTCATTTCAAACACTGTTTGGAGGGATGTGTTCACAGAATCTCAGGAATCTAGAGTTCCCAGAAGGGACCCTGGGTCATGGTGCAATTTTATAGAAGGGGAAAATGAGCACCCCCAAGAGGGTGGGGAAGGATAGATATGGGTGGGAGATGCAGGGGAGGGCATCCCCCACTCACCATCAATGGAGGCCCTTTTGGGCAGGATGGTGATAGCTCCCACGGCCACATCCTCCAGGTTCAGGACGGGTGAGATCTTGGCTCCCCAGCTGTCTGAGCCAACCCACAGGAAGTGGCCAGTCAGGTTGGCCTGGCGTGCAGCCTCCAGAACCCTCCTGGTAAGAACAGGGAAGGGTGAGGATGCCCTGAAGTCCTCCTCCTGCTTAACCCTGGTCACTTCCCAGTCTCTGCTCGCCATCTATCCGATTCGGCACTGCTCAGCAAACCCTTGTTTATCAGGAAAAGCAGGATGTAGGCAGTTTAGGACCCTGGGTTTCTCAGGTAGTAAAAGGTCCAGCCAGGCTCTGACTCCAGGCCTGCCCTCACGTTCTGTGCGCTGCTTCATGCTGTCTTTAGGCAGTGCCTGCCTTCTCCTGCTGGGGTTCAGGCTGGGGGCCGTGCCTTCTGCTGATAACCTATTGCCCCGGGAATTGTCCCCTGACAACTGTTACATGTGCCCACCAGTCTCTCCCCCACTGTTAATGATAGAAGCAGATATGTATTCTTATGTTTCTCTGGCTAAGCTTGGAGCATTTCTGGGGCCGGGTTCATTTCTGGGGCCACCAGACACATAGAGAACAGTAGAAAAGGTATGTGGTGGCAGGAAGGCAAGAGGGGAAGAAAGAGGGGAAGGGAGGATGTGCATGGCTGGGATACATGAGATGAGGCAGGAGGGTCTTCAAGAAAAGCTACAGAAGAACACGGTGCCTGAACACGCCCTCTGTCCCACCTGATGTCATCCTCGTTGGCGAAGATGATGATGCCCCGGGCGTTCGGTGTCTCCATGAGCCTCTTGATCACTTTATTAAATTCTCCTGGTTTTGGTTCCCTGGGAATCTTGATGGACTGGGCAATACAGACCCCCCCTGGGTGTCAGAGATGCCAAAGTCAGTCCTTCACCCACCAAGGCCACCGCCACACATGACTGTGGTAGGAACTGAGTCTTCCAAAGGAAACAGTGCCTGCCCACAGGGCGCACCATCCAGGCTCCCCACTATAAACCCAGAGCCCCACCTCACAGCTTGCGCCCTGACTGACGGCCGCTCCATAGGCTCCTTCAGGCCTCAGACCACCCCCCTCTGCCCTGGGCCCAAGCTCACCAGCCTCTCGAGAGATCTGCACAAAAGCCTCAACCCCACTCTCGCCATAGTTGCCCTCAGAGGCCAGCGTGGACACGTAGTTCCATCCCAGTGCCCGCACTATGTCCACCATGGCCTGGGCCTGGTAGGAGTCAGGGGGCACCACGCGGGAGAAGAAGTCATAGCGTGTGGAGTCGCTGAGCTCCGGGGCCGTGGACGCGTAGCTGATCTGGGGGATCTAGAGTGAGGAAAGACACCAGGCTGTGGATGGAGGGTCGGTCACCCTAGGCAGGGAACGCAGTGAGGACCCAGGACCCAGGGATAGGGTGCTCGGGGCAAGTGGGAGCAGCCTCTCCACATGGAGAGGCTGGAACATGCGGACAAAGACCTGCATTTTGTGAATGGGACTAATGGAACATGGGATGCATGAGGGTCTAGGGGAGAGGGCATATAATTGCACAGGGTGTGTTGCCAGCAAAAGGGAAGTAGGGGTTCACGTCCAATCTGCAGCTGCCAGGCACTGGCTGCAGCATTCACCTGGGTAAAGGGACATCTGTCAGCCCCAGAGGGAGACATGTTTCCCCAGTTCACACAAAGGGGTGGTCTGCACAGGCGGGCATCAGCCCCAGGAGGGGCTGAGCAGGCAGGAGAGCAGGGAGGGGCCGTTTGACTGAAGGTTGTGTCTGGTCTGATGGAGGGGCCTGTTTGGAACCGGGTTTATCCGAGTGCATTAGAGTGATTAATCATGGGGATGATGGCTGAGCTGATTCAGGAGGAAGGATGGGGCAGGAAGTGTGAAAGGAGACTGGAGAATGGTAGTGGGAGAGGCTGGCAGAGCAGAGGGGCGAATCCCTCATGTTAAAGGAAGACACAAGCAAACGACAACAAAGCCAACACAGAAGCGAAAGGCAGCAAGTGGGAGCTGGTGTGAAGGTCCGAGAGGCGGAGGTTCTAGAAGCAGCAGGTTGGAACTGGTCCAGGGGAGACAGGGAGAGTTATGGAAAGGGGAGGGAAGAGCGAGAAGGAAAAGAGGAAAGGGAGAAGAGAGAGAACGAGGGAAAATCAGAGAAAAGGAGGCAGAGGAAGGCCCAGGGGCTACAGTGCAATTAATGGACGCCGTAGTTATCCCGGCACTCTAGACGCTTTCATCCTCAGAACAACTTTCCCAGACAAGCTTGCGTCTGGCCCAGGGAACAGGGCTTCTTGGCTAACTAGAGTGATTCTCGAAAGGAGACTAGACCTCAGGCACCCCTAAGGCAAAGACAAGGGAGAGACGCTGCGCCCCGGGCTCTCACCGCGAACAGGCGCAGCACGTTGGCGACCATGATGGAGACAGAGCTGGCCGAGGCGCCCACGACAGCCACCACGCGCTCCGGGGGCGCGGTGCGCAGCGGGGGGACCCCGCCGGGGCAGCGCACGGCAGCCTCTTCGCCGTCGCGGCCGCGGATCAGCGCCTGCACGAAGCTCAGCGCCTGCTCCAGCGCGTACGTGTCCCGCGAGCAGGTGTCGAGCAGCCGGGCGCCCAGGCGCACCCCGGGCAGCAGCTCGGGGTCGGCGTTCACGCGGTCTAGCTGCCCGCACGCCCTGCCCGCCGCGCCGCGAGCGTGCACCGGGAACAGTCCGCCCAGCGTGAGGCCGCCCGCCAGGCGCACCGAGCCCGCGGCGCCCACCACTCCCGCCTGCGCCAGCACCAGCAGCAGCGGCAGCAGCTCCTGGACCCCGGCCATCGGCTGGGCGGCTGCAGGAGGAGGACGGGGCGGGGACGGGAACAGACGGGAGCACACTGATCGTCAGGCAGAGGAAGGACCCGGGTCGGGGGGAAAGAAGAGGGAGCCCCACAATCCTTGGGGAGAGGGGAGGTGAGCAATATATAAATGTTGGCCGAGCCAGCTGGAAGAGAGGTGAGGCATCACTTCAGCCAGCCTGCCCGGGACACCTGGCTTTCACCCCCTCTGAACCTCATCCCCCGGTCCGCCCCGCCCGACCACTCTCTCCAGCGCTCTAGTCCTGCCGATCCCCAGCGCACACCCAGGCCCTCTCTGAAGCCACACTCACCTCCGCCAGCCGCTGTCGGTCCAGCGACAGACGCAGAGGGCCCTGAGAGAGAGAGGATTTAAGGATTCTAGGGAAGGGATGAAAGGCCGCCCCGAGGGCGGAGACCCATCCTGAGCAAGGCCGGTGCGCAGGACTGGCCCTCTCAACACCTGCTTTCCTTCCCTCTGCTACTCCTTGGGTCTGTTTCTTTCCCGTCTTTGGATGTGGGCTGACACACATGTTTCTCCGGCTGCTGGCCTCTATTTCTGGCTTTCTCTACCGGCCCCTCTCCCTCATCTCTTCTGTGTCTCCTCCTGTCTCTGTCGATGTCTCTTTCTCTCATTGTCTCTCTCTGTCTTTTTCCATTATTCCTACTCTCTTTCCTGGCCACCAGTGTCTTGGCTCAGGCTGCCTCAGGTACTTCCCAACTTTCTCCTTGCAAAACCCTGTAGTAAACCGATGACTGGAGTGAGAAGGGGACACAGGTTGAGCGAAGAGGGGTGCACCTGAACAGGAAGACGGTGAACAGGGCTGAGCCAGGAGGAGGCGAGAACAAGCAGACCTCTAATGGTAGCGAGGTCTCTGCTTATCACACACACACACACACACACACATATACAACACAGACAGTCCTGCAAAGCAGAAACTTCTACCATCAGACCCTTTTTGCAGACAGGGAAATAGACCCCTCAAGGAGTCAAATGACTCAGTCAAGGCCACACAGTTGCCATGTGTCAGCATCAGGATTGGTACCCAGGTTGGTGTGAAAGGACCAGCCTTCACTGCCTTTGATGGAGGGAGGAGACAGGGCAGATTTGCTGTGCCGTTCCCACCCCCCTCTCTTATATATGAAGGTAGAATCCTAAGGAGTTACTCTCTTGGTGGTTCATAAAGCCTTCTTGGCTCTGGGGTCTGAAGCAGTGACATACCATGTGAGGGTCTTTGTATCTGAATTTCCTCATCTCATGTTTTGGGCCAAGCTGATGGGGATTGGCCAAAAATACTTCTACCACCATCCCCAACTGAGGCCCTGGATTTGCCTTTATGACACTAGTGCATCCTGGAGACAGGTGGTGAGCTCCCAGCCCTAGGGATTAGCAAGTTCTAAGGGGGGGTGGGGAGAGGGACTGAGCTAAGGCGGGCTGAGCTGGTTTGGGCTCCATTAGAGGGTGGATTAGTGCAGCCGTGGGGATTTGGGTAAAGCTGTCAGAGGAGCAAGCAAAAGCCATGTCATTCTTCTCTCTTCTCTCCCCACATAGAAGGGCCCTGAATATCTCTGTTTTCAGAGGCATCCAGGCACCTGTGCCTGGCAGAGCTGGGAGGTCCAGCTTGATCTGTTGGACCAAGGTTGGCAAGGATGGGACACTTAGCTAGTGCTAGGCCCCAAGCTTGATGCTGCAAAAGTCTGTATGAATTGGGCATTTGAGGTGGTAGGGCGCTGCTGCTGGGCTCACACAATCCCTCAGAGCCCTCCCCTGCTCCAGACAAGTCAGGCAGGGCCACAGCTGACATCACAAAAGTCTTCTGACTCATAGGATGAAGGCACCCCATTGGTTCCTTGAGTGTAGGATGGACCAACAACGAGCTGGGGCAATAGCCCTCACTGTGATGCATGAGGGCAGCGAGTGACTGACCAGGAAAGGGAGAGAAGTAGGTGGGTTCCAGGCCAGGGGAAGAAATGGCTCTGAAGAAATGGAAAGAGGGGCATCATAGGTGGGGCACCTGGGAGGAGGGATTAGCCATCCCTGCAAATGTGAGGACCAGGACCAGGACTGAGCAGGTCAGAGGAAGGTAGAAACCAAGACTTTGACTTTGGACACAGGAAAGCCAAGAATTTCATTTGAGATTTGAGAGGATAGGTCAAGCTCCTGGTTAGATTCAATAAAGGGAGAAGTTTAATATACCACAGTTTTAAATTTTAATACCACAGTTTTAAAATTTCAGTTTAGTGTTTTGAATACCAGTGTCTAGACTTCATATAGTTCTCTTCTGGGACTTACAGGAAGTGTCCAGAGTAGTAATTAAATAGTTACAATGAGTGTTGAAAGCTTGCCTTTATTGTGTGATATCTGTGTGTGTGTGTGTGTTGCTAGTGCTAAGTTGCTTCTTTCATGTCTGACTCTTTGTGATCGTACGGACCACAGCCTGCCAGGCTCCTCTGTCCATGAGACTCTCCAGGCAAGCATACTGGAGAGGGTTGCCATTTCCTTCTCCAGGGATCCTTCCCCACCCAGGGATTGAACCTGGGCCTCTTACTCTCCTGCACTGGCAGTCAGGTTCTTTACCACTAGAACCACCTGGGAAGCCTCGTGACACTCTATGAAGTCCGTATCGAATCACCCCACGGTACAGATGTACACTTAGGAGCAGAGAGGTCGGGAGCTAACTTACTCAGGACCACACAGACACCAAGCAGTGGAGTTGGGGTAGTGAAGCCGAGTCAGGCTGAACTCTGAACTAGGCTATGCATTGTGCTACACAAGTNTCTGTCCATGAGACTCTCCAGGCAAGCATACTGGAGAGGGTTGCCATTTCCTTCTCCAGGGATCCTTCCCCACCCAGGGATTGAACCTGGGCCTCTTACTCTCCTGCACTGGCAGTCAGGTTCTTTACCACTAGAACCACCTGGGAAGCCTCGTGACACTCTATGAAGTCCGTATCGAATCACCCCACGGTACAGATGTACACTTAGGAGCAGAGAGGTCGGGAGCTAACTTACTCAGGACCACACAGACACCAAGCAGTGGAGTTGGGGTAGTGAAGCCGAGTCAGGCTGAACTCTGAACTAGGCTATGCATTGTGCTACACAAGTGAGTCAGTACATGTAGAGATGCTGCTAACTGCTACACAAGTGAGTCAGCACATGTAGATACGCTGCTAACTGCTACACAAGTGAGTCAGTACGTGTAGATATGCTGCTAACTGCTACACAAGTGAGTCAGTACGTGTAGATACGCTGCTAACTGCTACACAAGTGAGTCAGTACATGTAGATACGCTGCTAACTGCTACACAAGTGAGTCAGTACATGTAGATATGCTGCTAACTGCTACACAGATGAGTCATGTACGTGTAGATCTTTCTAACTATACATTTGTGCCCCTACCCCATGACCCTGCTTGTAATGTAATGATGTAATCGTGAGAAAAGGGAAGAGAGTGTTACAGAAATTACCATTTGTTTATTTTGAACATGTGGTTTTTTGGTTCCTGGGGAATTCCAGCTCTGGATTTCCTTTGGAAGCAAGAGTCTCTCACCACATTTGTTAAGTTCCTAGAGCTGCCAGAACAAAGTAACACAGATTTAGTAGCTTACCCAACATATTTATTATTTTGCAGTTCTGGAACCTGCAAGTCTGAAGTCAAGGTGTCAGCAGGGTTACACATATTCAGGGGAGGATATGTTCAGCTGTCTTCTCCCTGTGTAAAGGCACCAAAAAAGACACCAGTCTTATTGGAACAGGGCCCGCCCTAATGACCTCATTGCACCCTGGTTGACTCTGTAACAATTCTATTTTCAAATAAGGTCAACATTCTGAGATACTGGAGACTAGGATTTCAGTACATGAATTTCTGGGTAGGGAGACACAAATCAGCCCAGTTTTTCAGCCCACACCTTGAAAACCTTTGCAAATGAGCTTTCACCCAAGTCTGCCAGCCCTTTGCTTTGGAACAAGAATAACTGATAACATGAGTCATGAAATGAATGGAGGCAGCTTGAGCCAAGGCTTTGGCATGTGGACTCAGTAATATTACTCAGGTGTGAAATAGCCTTGAGAACGTGCTCATTTTAAAGGAACTATTTGCCAAATAGTAGGATATTCATTAGGAGATACTGCCTAATTGTTGTTGTTTTTAATGGCAAACCTTTAACCAGAGTATACATTTTCTTCAAAATTAGAGAAATCAAACTGAGGAAAGACATAGAATGAATCTCAGGGAAGTTTTCCCAGACGTAGTATAGAACAGCAGTCAGAAAAATTTTTGTTGGTTAATGGAACTTAGATTTAATGGAATTTTCTCCATAATACACAGTACCAAGGTATGATCATAGCAAAACACTTTTTTTAAGGGCCATATGGTAGGCCAAATAATCCACCCCTCACCCCCATGTGTCCAAGTCCTAATCTCCAAGACCTGTGAATGTTACCTTATATGGCAAAGGGGACCTTGCAGATGTGATTAAATTAAGGATTTGTGATGGAGAGATGATCCTAGATTATCCTGGTGGGCCCCATGTATTCATAAGGGTCCTTACAAGAGAAAAGATGAGGTGGCGATGGAAGCAAGGAGAGATTTAAAGATGCTAAGTGCTGGCTTTGAAGATGTACATAGGAGCCACAAGCCAAGCAATGCAATCCTAAAACCTGGAACAGATGAGAAAATGGATTGTCTCCTAGAGTCTCCTGAGGGAACTGGTGCCTTGACTTTTATCCGGTGAAATTGATTCTAGAACTTTATAGGAGGAGAGATTTGTGTTGTTTTAAATGACTAAGTTTGTGGCAATTTGTTGCAGCAGCAATAGAAAACTAGTGCAGGTCAGGTAGTAAATATTTTAGGCTTTGCTGACCATACAGTTTCTACCCCAAGTGTTCAACTCCGCTAATGTGAATAGTCACAGACAGTTCCCAGAGCCAGCCTCAGGGGCATGGCCAGGAATGCAAACAAGGCGCTAGCTGGTTGTGAGAACGGGAC